TGTGGCCTGAAATGCAGAGCTTCCTGGGTTCCCATCCCAGAAGGGCCCCCAGGAGTTACTGTGGGCAGGCTGAGACCAGGGCTACTCAACCCGGAGCCTGCAGAGGGGCTCAGGACCGTGGGACTCCACGACTTTGCACTTAGGGCTTTCTGTGTAATTTTCTGAGATGATCTGTAGCTTGTGTTAGCTTCGCAGAGGGGCCTGTGGCTCACAAATGGTTAGAACCGCTCTCCTGGTGCAGACACACCAGCTCTTGTCAGACAGGGACTTCCCTCTGCCCCCTGTGAAAAAATGAGTTATGACATCGAGAGGGCCGGGAGGGCCGATGCATCAGGATCAGTGTTCTCAGCAGGGAGCGGTATCTCTACCCCATTCAGAAAACAAAGGGTTGGGGCGCCTGAGTGGCTCAGTCGTTATGCGTCTGCCTTCGGCTCAGGTCATGATCCCGGGGTCCTGGGATGGAGCCCCGCATCGGGCTCCCTGCTCAGCGGGGAGCCTGCTTCTCCCTCTCCTGCTCCCCCTGTGTGTACTCTCTCCCTGTCAAAATAAGTAAAATCTTATAAAAAAAAAAAAAAGGAAAAGAAAACAAAAGGTTTCAGCTGGATTCCCAGACGGTAAGGAGATGAGGAAGTCTGCAGACAGGTGCTAGGTCATGCCTCCAGGATAGAGTAGCTCAGGCAGTGAAGAGAAGGGAGGAGGGAATGTCAGGTGGTTCTGACGGAGCTGGCGGCACCCTCCTCCCTGGTGGCACCACACCCCCAAATGTGTCCCGTGATGCTGTTAGGTCTGTGTCCGCTCCCGCGGCCCCAGCGACACAGGGAGGCCTTGTTTTGTTTCCAGCGGCCCCTCCTGCAGACAGCCGGTGAGCCGGGTAGAGGCACGCGGGGTCTGGAGACACTGCCGAGCACCCCCGCAGCCAGCCCCTTCAGCGAGGTGGGGGCCGAAGCTGCACGAGGGTGGCCCTTGCCCGATGCTGGGGTTGGCCCTGCCAGCGGCAGGCACCCAGGAGCAGCCCTGGGGGTGGCAGCCCACCCCCCCCCCCGCGGCAGCAGATGCACCTGAAGGAAACGCTCCCAGGGACAGCCAGGGGCCACCAGCCCTGCACCACTGCCCTGTGGATGGTTTGCAGAATCACATCATTTTCAAAATAGTGAGGAAACCTGTCATCCCAGCCCCACATCGTCCATTCAAGAGAAGCCATTCTCTGGCAGGTGCCCAGCAGTTTTCAGAGGGTGCTGGCCCCAACCACAGGGTTTCCTTCAAACTCTAAGAAGGCAGAGGGGACAGAATTTGACATTGTGACCGTTGCTCCCGTGGTAATTTGGGAAAGGATTATTCTGCCCTGTTAGATCATCTCAGGAAGCTGAACCCACGGCGGGAAGAGCTGGACGGTCAGGTCTAAGTTCCCAGGCTCCCCCCTTGTCCTCACGGGAGGCTAACGAGTTCCTACAAACCGCCAAATCCCACACCTTACCCCAGGACATCACGTGGGACCCCTCCAATGCCATGAACTCCGCAGGACGCTGTTCTACTCCCCTTTAAGAAGAATCACGGGGCACCTGGGTGGCTCAGTTGTTAAGCATCTGCCTTTGGCTCAGGTCATGGTCCCAGGGTCCTGAGATTGAGCCCCACATCTGGCTCCCTGCTCCATGGGAAGTCTGCTTCTCCCTCTCCCACTCCCCCTGCTTGTGTTCCCTCTCTCACTCTCTGTCAAATAAAATCTTAAAAAAATTAAAAAAAAAAAAAGAATCCCACTAAGGGACTGGATGTGAAAACTTAAAAAAAAAAAAAAAATCATCACAAAGATTATCCAACTCCTAAAAACACGAAAGCTAGTGTGTAGTAGGCTCAGTACTGGACCAATGATCTTGGCAGTTTTTTGAAGTTTTTGTCCTTATTTTATTCACAAATTTCCTCTTTAAAAAAAAGGTGAACAAGTTGATAATTCAGATTTATATTATGGTAATAATACAACAGGACAAGGGGGGGTCCCTGGGTGCCTCAGTAGGTTGAGTCCGACTCTTGATTTCAGCTCAGGTCATAGTCTCAGGGTCATGAGATCTAGTTGCACATAGGGAATCCATGCTGGGCGTGGAGCCTGCTTCAGATTCTGTCTCCCTCTCCCTCTGCCTTCCCCCTTACTCCCCGGTGCTCATGTTCTCGCTCTCCCCAAAAAAAGGATAAAGGGTCAAAAATGTGATTAAAAGGGGAAGTACAGGCTACAGACTAGGATTCCCACTGCATGATGTTCTGGGAGAGGCAGAGCTATGGCGACGACAGGAAGTCAGTGGCTGTGGGGCCCAGCAGGGAGGGAGAAACAGGTGCAGCATGAAGGATGTTCGGGGCAGTGAGACTCTTCTGTAGGACACTGTCATGATGCACACATGTGATCATGTCTGTCCACCCGAGTGTACAGCGCCAGGTGAACCGAACGCATGCTGTGGACTCTGGGTGCTGCTGTGTCAGCCTGGACTCATCCGTTGTGACACACAGACCCTCTGGCAGGGGAGGCTGTGCAGATCAGGGGCAGGAGGCAAACAGGAAATCTCTGTACCTTCCCCTCCGTATTACTGCAATCCCAAAACCGTTCTAAAACATGAAATCTGTTAATAAAAATATCAGTACAAAGCAGGACAAGTATAAAGCAGGACTGAGCCACAGGAAGTTGTGCCTCTCACTCTGAGCTTCCTGGCAGCCAGGATGAAGGGCGAAACAGACAACGGCTCCCAGAGAACCAGGACGCTGGTTTCTCTGAGATGCTGCTTGCAGGGGGCCGTGGCACACAGATTTCCAAAATGCTACATGCTCTGGACACCTGCAGAAATCAAGAAGGCCTGCAGGAAGAATCACCGTTGGCCAAGTGACCCAAACCGGCAAGCAGCAAGGATGGGAACTCGCTGTTGTTTCAGGGACAGGCCCGGGCTCGTCCGTCTCCCCGTGTTCTGGGGCGTCTTCCCTGCTTTTGAGGGCTGGCTCACTCCGACTCCTCCCCAGCGCTCCGCGGGCTCACCTGGAGCTGGAGGTACTGAAATCCCACCAGCAGAAGACACGTTTCTCAATCTTAGCTCAAAGCTGGAGGTTTGCCGTTCGTTTCTTCTTCACACACAAGGGGCGACGAGGAAGCTGCTTTTTGCTGTGCTCTCCTTCACAGAGGGCAGAACCTCCTCCCCGCTCCCAGTTTATATCCTTGCTGGGCCGCAGAGAGAGGTGCGAGCCACGGTCCAGCCCGCGCATGCCCACTGAGCAGGACCTCCCTGCTCCGAGGTCGCCCCGGGGAGGAAAGGAGGCCACAGACAGCAGGGGTGCTTTGGGCAGATCTGGAGTTTATTTGCTGCAGTCCCTTGGTGCTAGTTTACAATGCAAAAAAACCAAACGAACAAAAAACAGTTGGAATAATAATTATAATTTTTTTTAAAACCCTGTCAACAACTTTCAGTCATTTCTTTATATTTTATATTTTGACAAAACTTTTTTTAAACAAATACAAAATAATCTAAAAGGAGAAAAACTATACAGGATTATTTACACCTCTGATAAATAGACGAATACTGACGCAGGTGCCTCTCTGTGTAGTATTTGTGAGAACCAGTGCAGGGCACGCAGCTGGCGGTGGGGTCCCGACGGGCCCAGACCTCCCCCCGTCCCCGTACGAGCTCCGGCACGAACAGGCCTGAAGTCACTCGAGGGAGGACCGGTGTGGAGGGGACCCCTGAGGGTCCCCCCGCCTGCACCCCCAATCACGCCCTTGCACGAACGCCATCTGCAGAGATGCCCGCCTGCCCTAACGGAGTCGGAGGAGCGGGGCTCCCGCTGCCCGAGAAGAGCGGCGGCTCTTCGCCTTCTTCCGGGAGGCAATGTGGGGGCGCCGGGGTGGCCCGGGCCGGCCCCTGCTCTGCGGCAGGAGCGGCCCGAGAGTCCCTGAGAGAAGAGCAGGAGGACGCTGCGTTCCGCGGCTCCCTTCACACCGTACGTTGGGAGGGCGAGGCCAGCGCCACGCAGGCCCGCGGGGCAGGGAAGGACGCAAGGCCGCTCTTGTCCCCCTGGCGCTCCGCCTGCCCCTGCCGGGCAGAGGAAGGCCCCCACCCGCCCCGAAATGGGCGGCAGTAGTCCAGGTCGGGGCCCGAGTCGAGGCGGAAAAAGCTGAAGACCTAAGGTGATCAGTAAGACCTGCTCCTTCCTCTAAAACGAGGACTGCAGCTCTGGGGGAGGAGGAAGAACCATGTAAGAAACAGGCCGTCCCGAACCTCGGTGGGGACTGCCCTCCTCAGTTTTGGTTCCAGGGTCCTTAGCTCAAGGGAAAATGCTGACTTTGCAGTTTAAAGCCCGACAAGGAGGAACTCTGAAAGAGAAAAACAGCGACCGTCCAGCGATTCTCTTCTTCCCTCCACACCCCCGGCACTTGGAATGGAGAAGCAGCGGCTGCTGCCAGCCCGCCCGTCCCACCACCCGCGCCCTCGGGCTGCTGAGAAGCCGGCTCCCGCCAGTGGGCCAGGGGGGGGGGGGGGGGAACCTCGGCGGCTGCCCTGGGAGCCTCCACCCCGGACCAGGCAGAACGCCTCAGAACGGCTCTACTTTATCTTTTTCTCTCTTTAAAAAACAAAAATATATCTTTATAGTACGTGGCTTCTCTTCCATTCCACTTTTTTCTTAACATAGAATAATATATCGATAGGTGTATTTACGGTGCAGGGTTGAAGGCTTCTTCACAGGGAAATAACCAAGAGGTAAGTGGCTGGCTTCGAGCTCTGCTATTAGACCTGCTGAGCGGGAGACTTGCAAGGAGGCTGATGTGCTGACGGGGGCTCTGTTCCCTCTCCCCCGTGCGAACTCCTACCCTTCTCCCACTTAAAAACAAATAGCAAAGCTGAAGCCAGTCTCTAGGAATTCAGGGTGACGCCCAGCAGGGGACACCCCTGCTCGGCAGCCCGCCGCCCATCCGTGGGGGGGGACAGGAGGAAGGACCCAGGGCCTTGCATGCTGGCGCCGCTCGCTGGGCAGGCTCAGTGTCTCTTCGTGGAGGAGACCTTCTTCTTCCTTGCGGCCAGCATCTCGTAGAAAGGGTCCCTGCTGATGGCTGCTCTGGACACACGGAGGGGAGAAAACAGAACAGACTGAGGAATGGGCCCAGGAGACAGCCCGGGCAGGCGCTCGCCGGCGGCACCTGTGCCCCCTGCCCCCACCCCCGGCACGGCAAAGGCCAAGTCAGTGCGTCAGTATTTACCATGTCCACACATGACTTAAGGGACAAGCGTCAAAAGAGCCACATGGTACACATGACAAGATAATTCTGTTTCTACCTGATAGTGGATTTAGGTTTAGGAATAGAGTATTACACACTCTTACCATATTCTAGCCCAGAAAGACAAATGTGCTACTTCGATCCACAATGACAGCGAGCGCCACACAATCCATGGCACCCAGCGCTCTGACAGCCACCATGGTCTGTAACCACACAACCTCTGAGTCCCGCGCGCGTGCCGACTCAATGACCGAGACCACACGCGGACCGTCCACGCTGTCGCGGGGCCTTGGGGCGCGGCCGGCCAGGCCTGCTCTATGTCCACGGCCCGGCAGGGAGGGAGCCTGCATGTGCCCTGGCACTCCCCCAGAGACCCCAGCATGGGACGGTGACAGCAGGGCCACCCCCGTGCACCTGTCCTTCCCAACCGCCCAGCACATGGTGCCGTGAGTGCGCCGAAGCTCTTCCAGAGCGGCCACAATCGAAGTGCCCGCGAGTCTCCAACGCTTACCCGAGAGCCCAGCTGACCACTGGCTCTGCGCCTGACCAGGGGAATGACAGGCCCTGCAAACACACCGGGACCTATTCACCAGAGGTGACATGTCCCCAAGAAGCGTCTCCACAGCTCCTTGGGGCAGCCAGAACCGAGAGTCCCTGGCACCTGTCCCAAGGGGACCTTGCCACAAAGGCCTCAGTTTCAGTGTCGAGAGTCAAGGATGCTGAAGCAGAGCACTGCATAGCCGTCAGGAGTGCGTCTTGCGGAGTCACAAAGCTCAGGTCTGAAGACCAGCAGCACCTCTGTGGCTCTGGACAATTTAATTTGCTTTGCTGTGCCTCAGTGTCCTCATCCGTAAAATGGGGATGACCGTGCTTCCCAGGCTGCGGTAAAGGGTGAGGAGACAGTACCCGAAGTGCATAAACAGTGTGCGAATTCTGCCAGGTGATGAGGCAGCACCGGGGCCCAGCGAGGACCTGAGCCAGCCCAGGGGCGGCCAGTGCGCACCCTCACTAAAGGACTGGACGACTCCAAGTGCGACTTTCAAGAACGCCCAGTGGTTCTGGCTGTAGGAGTACAGACCACATGAAAGACAAAACGCAGGCAAAACCACAGAACGGTGCGTGGGGAAGGCTGTGCACGGCCACGTGCCACTCCAGGGAGACACAGCAGGGCCCAGACGGGACCCTGCGCACACACAAGTGTGCAGGAACTGGAGAGCGTGCCTGGGACTGGTTAACCCGGTATCACGACAACCAGCTATTCACCCGATAGAAGAAATTACATCCCTTCCTTCAAACCATACGCTAAAAATATATTTCATAAGGACGAAAGAGTTAAGTGTTTTTTTTTAAAAACATATGGTAAAAGAAGAGTGCAGGACACGTGGATGAGGGTCACTTGCTGGCCGGGATGCCCAGGGCACGGCCACTCCTCTGCCCAGACCTCAGTGGAAGGCTTGAAAGTTTTCATTTAAATTCCTTAGTTACCACACGGTGTAATATTAGCTTCCGTGTACAACAGAGTGAGTGAGTCAGCTCTTCCCACGTGTCATGCGTGCCGGGCTCCGGAGTCTCCTTACTGGTACTGACTCCAGGGACACTGTGCAGCCTTGTCCATGGGATGAGGGTCAGAGGGCTCACACCGAGGACGGGAGCCACCAGGGTCGCCACGTGACAACGTCTCACCCCAAACGTCCACACCGAAGGGGCAGGAGGAGTGCCAGTCTCCAAGGAGGCCGACGGTCTGGCAGGAGGGAACTCAGCACCAGGAGGCCTCACCCCAAACCCACGTGCTCCTGCCCAACCCAACTCTTCCAGGTAGGACTTCCAAGCAGACTCCCATGGAGTCCATCACGTGTCTTTGTTCAGTCATCTGTTTGCCGTTCAACCCCGGCCAGACCCTGCACTGGCTTCAGCAGCGATACCAAACCACACCCCAAACTCGAGCGCTCCCCCTCGGGAGCAGGCTGTGGCTGGGGCGGGAGCACGCCCGTCACGGGGGGATGCAGGGCCGCAGGGCCTCAGATCACCGCGTCAGGGTGGCCTCCCTGGCCTCTGGGGAAGTCACGCGCTCTCAGAACAAACTGCCACCGAGACAAGCAGCCAGGCCATGCCCGCGGGGCGCGATGGCCATCTGGACAGGCTCTGGAAAGTCCCGGGGCGGGGGGGGGGGGGGGGGGGGGGCGGACAGCTCTAGCCTGTCATCACCCTTGCACTGTGCCGCTCAGCCAAGCAGGAGGAGCCGAGCCCTGGGTCTGCGGCTCCGCCTACACCCGTGGAAGCCTCAGAACCCTCTTCCCCCCTCTCAGACCCTCAGCCTCCCCAAAGCACAGCGGTCAATGGTGGGGGTCTATCGTGTGACCCTGGAGCGCAGCCATGTGACTCTGGGCAGTTTCCTCACCTGTAAATGGGACAAGTCTCCCCGGAAATGATAAAACATTAGGATTACTATCTCCGCCAAGCTGACCATGAGGCCTGCTTCCTAAGACGTGGGCTGACCAGGTGAACAGACGGCACCTGTGGCTGGAAGGCACCCGCCCTCCCCGGGCCGCCAGGAGCACTCCAGGAAGCCTAGACCCGAGGCGCTCTCATAAATGTGCGGCCACGGTCACGCATCTAAGGATCCACCAAAAAGTAGTCTGGCAATTCCAGACTGCCCTGAGGATCTCAGGCAGGAGCCCTGGAGAGGGGCGGGCGGCGCACCCAACAGCTGAAAACGGTCCCTGAGAGGTGAGAGCCCTCGTCGGGTGAAAGCACGCCACATCTCATACGCCACCTACTTGATGCATTTAATCCACTCCTCCTTCTCCTCAGGCGTCGGGGCTGAGATCCGGTACACGGTGTGGTTCCCCTCCACGACCCGCCCATCAGCCTCCGTCTTGCAGGCCTTGATCACTTGGTCTTTATTGTCAGGAATATAAAGCTCAAAGCAGTTCTGAGAATCACAAAAGAGAGGGAGAGGGTGTCAAAGATCTGAGAAAGCTGCCGACCAAGAACAAAAAATGTTAGTTTCTTCCTCAAAAGACTCTTCCTTCTGACCCCCATGAAGCACAGGCAGTATGTGGGGGAGCCTCGTGGTGGAATTGTGGAGAATACGGCTGAGTGTCATAAGCCTGATTAGCAAAGGCCGCAGCAGGTGCACGTCAGCGCCACTCCCAACCACACACCGAAAACACGGAGCGCCGAAGGTCACACAGACGCCTTCTAGAGCCCACCCCGCAGCACCGGCATATTCCGAACGAAGGGGAGGTATCTGTAAGGTGCCTGAAGGTCCTAACACGAGCAGCCCAGTCATAGCGCTTGCTGCGGCCTTTTAAGGAGGGACAATTCCATCCCTCGTGGGACTGTACACACGTGACACAGACGCACCTGTCATTTACAGCCTCATCTCTGGCTTCAACACAATCATTTTAAAATCAGGCGCGACACTACTTTTCAGTTTTAAGTAAATCTTGGTAATTTCAGTCGTTTTCAAAGAACTGCTACACCCCTCCCTTCTGTCCTCTCCCGTACCCCACATACTTACTGGCTTTTTGGAGTCCTCTACCTCCCGGATACTCAGATTCTCTAAAGGGATAATCCCACGGGGCTCCTTGTCCTGCAGAACAGTTGCAGACAGAAAGACCTCACCGCGGGGTCAGGAGCACGCGGCCCACCGCGTTCCTCACCCACACGTCACCCGGGCCCTTCTACTCTTCTCCCCTGACCTCGAGCTCACAAATCAGCTCTAGGGCCCACACCCTAGGTTCTAAAATCAGAAGAGGGCCAGGAAGTATATGGGTACACGAATCCCTGTAACCGGGGGCCTCTGCAAGGAGGATGCCCAGGGCAGTCTCGGCACCTGTCCTGAAAGAGGGGATGGGTGTGTCCCAGAAGAGCCCACAGGAGGCCCTCCAGCAGGGAGCACAGCAGCCTCTCTCACACAGAAAACCACCTCGCTTCTCTGCCCGGCTCCCGTACGCATCTCTTCAGCCTCTGTTCCAGGGTTGGCAACCCCAGAAAGCCCTGGCCTCGGTCCGGGTGCTGTGCTCTGTGCCTCCAACGCCTGGGACTGTGGTGTGTGTGTGTGTGTGTGTCTTCATTACCTCCTGCCCCATCGTCCCCCTGTCCAGAACAGAGCAGACCTGCCATACCCTCGCCCCCATGGCTCTCCTCCAGCACTTCCCATCCCAGCAAAGGCCACCACACACACGCACTTCACACCTCCCTCTCCGGGACATCCAGCCACACAACAGCCCAAGACTGCATTCCAAGGCCACCAGGGTAGCTGGGCTAAGCCTCGGCACCACACTCCCTACGACAAATGTTCCTGCAGCACTGTGCTCTCTCCATTTGCAGATGCAGGTTCCTCTCCTTTTCGGGGAATAGTCCCGTAGTCGATGGTATCTTTGAACACGTGGTGCGGATACTCCAGTACTGGGATCATCTTCCTCTGTCCTCCACAACTGGTTACCTCTCCCCTAATCGTTTTCCTATTCGTCTTTTTCAGATGCGATCTCTGTGATTGTTCCAAACCTTTCCTCTATGACGGTGATTTTATCCTTGGGTAATCTGTTCCACTCCTTACAGTTTTTACTTACTATTACATAAGTCATACATCCGTTACAGTCTACATACATCACACTTGTGTTCTGGCCCCTTCCACGGTCTCAGGAGAGAGTGGTGAGTGGAGGGCAGGGGCTGGCTCAGACACTTGCCGCGCTCGGGCTCTCTGCTGGGACTGCGGCCGTCCTGCGTGGGGGTGGGTGGGCTGCTCACGGGCGCACCCCCTGTGGACAGCTCTCCCACTGAGTTCACAGCCCGGGGCCCTCACTGCCGCTGCAGGAAATGAGGCCCACTTTCTCACTTTCCCGCTTCGCCAGTCCCTACCCAGCGGCAGACTTTACTGCTCGCCAACGGGAAGAGGGCAAAAGTCCTACTCTGTTAGTGTCTCCTGGACTCAGGGCAGTGGGGAGGTGGTGGGGCTCCGTGGGGCAGGGCTCCCCTCCGCTCGGCACCCCCAGGCTGTGGCCTCTGTCCCTGCTTCCAGTGGCTGCGCTTCACGGAGGTAGTGGTCGCTCTTCCTTCCCCGGTTGCCAGCGCCCTCCTCCTGCCCCTGGATTTTCCGCACTGTGTTAGGTGCTTCTGTGTGGAAGCTCTGCCTACTGTCCTAACTCTGGGGCCCCCCATGTCTGCAGAGACACATTCTCTGATGTCTGTGGCCCAAGACAATGCTGCTGAAGGGAGTGTGGGATTCAGGCGATGCCACCACAGTCAGCATCGGGAAGAACCACGGCATTCTGGAATTGCACACATCACCACTGAGCCCACTCCCGAACTTAGGGCATATTGCTTAGATGCCTGTGTGTGTTTCGTTTTAACCCAAAGAATAGTGAAAAAAATCCCAAGGAGACTTTAAAGATGGCACCAGTCTAGAGATCTTTGAGAAAAAGGCAAACTATGGGCCGGGCGGGGGTGGGAGGGGACAGAAAGGAACGTACTCGGCTGTTGACAGCCGCACTCTGGGGGCAAACGGTAGGAAAATTACTGAGTGTCATAATGAGCAGCCTGCGGCAGCGAGTACTCCCCACTCCCTGCGTGAGAAGCTACACGCGCACAGCGTCCAAGATGACGGAGTGCCACGGAGGGTGGCCGCCTCACCCGGGCACGGGCCCGTGTCCTGGCTCCTGCCGGGGCTCACGTCCTGCATTCACGCTTATCCTCCACGTCCCACCACGCTCTACACTCGTCAGACACGGTCCTTCCGAATCTCCACGGTCTCAGCAGGACCCATGACTTTTACTCAGTGAAGACCTGAGCCCCACGCTGCCGAGCCGAACGGAGACACGAGAAAGGATCAAGTGACAGGTGGGCAGCCAGTGTGAAGCTGGCCGGCCAGGCTTGCTGGGCGCTGCACCAGAGGGAGCTTCGATAAAGGTCTTACTTTATCAGTTTTATTCTCACGGGCGCTTATTATGAAAGAGACTTACATGGAACACCTAACTGTGTTGTGAGTCCATTCCCGCTGAAAACCAACAGAACTTGCATGGTTGAAGAAAACTTCAAACTCTGGGTAATTCCCAACTTCCTCCATTTCATTTAACTTCCTTCTCCTCTATTACGTCTTTCACCCCTGGGCTGCTTCTCCCGAATCCAGAAAACCTGAATGCTCCACATGGTGATTTTCATCCCCCTTTCAAGGGGTCACAGACTCTCTTGGCACCTGACCCACATTCACTCTTTCCAGCCCGGCTCTAAACCCCATCTCTAATGTCGTGTGTAACGCCAGGCTTCTGCCCTCTCCTGGCCAGGCTTCTCCTGCCCTGGTCCAGAGCTGGATGGCGGCTGCCAGCCACCATGCTTTTGGCAGGACGCCCGCATCATCTTCAGGGCCCCCAGCTCTGGGGTCTGTCCTAGCTCTTCCTGTTCACCTCAAGTCTCTTCCCAGCCCTCCCCGGGGCCTCCTCTAAGCACATCGGACTGGAGTCGTGCAGACACAGAGGCCTGGCCCACCCTCAGTCCCACAGTGGACCAGCAGATGCTCACCGTCGTATATTCAAAGTAGTAAAGGCAGTTGTCAGTCAGAATAAACCAGCGTCTTTTCCAAGTCTTGACCCTGCCACCTGCAGAGCAAACAGAGATGCATGTCGGACAGGAGCCAACCGGTCCGTGCAGGCTCCGTAACACAGAACCCCCCCTCAGAGAGCACGAGGGGCAGGGCACCCAGAGAACATTGAGACCATGGCAAAGTCTACACCAGTAACAAGACACAGAGCCCAAACAGAAGCACCTTTCACAGAGTGAAGGTCCGTGGTACAAGCCGAGCAAGCAAGTCAGGCGGCACCTGGAGATGAGCTGAGGACAGTGGGATGAGAGCATGGCGTGGGGGGGGCACCCCAGGCAACAAGGACACGCAATGCACACCTGACTGGGCTGGAGCGGTACCAGCAGGAGCTGCTGCTGTGGTGGAAGTGGGCCAATGGAAGAAGAAGAGGGGAGAGGGGCAGCCCCGGTCCCAGCTGCACTGTGAGGGCGCCCAGCCCAGGGCACATACATATGCAGGGCTTCATCAGACACGTTAACCCCTTCACAATCAAATCTAGAGTTTTCCTGGAATGTGGAACCCAAACCCCTGTGGTTTCCCCCTCTACCCCACCTTCCTGATTATAGTGCATTTCTATACTGGCTTTCAGGCCCTGGGTCAGTGTCCTACAAATGAAACTTCCCCAGAGTCCTGGATGAGACAGGGTGGAGTTCCTGCACAGGGGAGGAACCCACAAGTGAGCAGAAGAGCTCAGGAGCCTTTCCAAGCCTGGACTTCTCACCTGAGCTCTGAACACAATGAGCTATGGGAGGGGTCGCGGGCCAAAGGAGCACGGACAGTGGTGGCTGTGAGCCCCGAAGGGCCCCACCACCTCCCTGGTGAAGCAGCAATGCTGGGGCCGTGAAGTTATGCTTGGAAGGACATCGGGGAGGGAGGCTTGGCTGTGGGCTGTTTCAGTGAAGCCACCTCCTGCCCCCTGCACGGCCATGAGCCGAACCTTGCCTTCGTCTGCTTACGTCGGGGCAAGGGGCAGCTTTCTGAATGTGAACCACACAGAAGTCAAGCAAAGGCCTTCCTATGTTACGATATGCATGCCATTTTGTACACACTTCTTACTGCCTCGACAGTATATGCTCTTCTTGCTAAGACTTAACCTCCAGGGATTATCACTTGTCCGATCTTCACCATGGGGTGCAGAGCTGGTATGACCTTAGTCATGCTTTCTCTCTCGTCCCTCAGCACAGGCAGCTGAGCCGAGAGCTCGGGCATGCTGCCACGTGCTCACCCCGGGTCTCCTGACGGGACGCCGTGGCTGGAGCACTGCACATAACATTACAGAGAGGGCGCACCCAGCACTGGTCCCAGCATCGAGCAGAAGGCTGGTTGGACTTTCCAGTCCCTTTTATGGCTCTGTCTGGGGGCCTGAAGTCTCGGGGAGGTTAAGTGATCGATCATGAATTGCACAGACCTAGGGTAGAGAGGCCTTTGCCGCCAGCATGTACCCGCTGCCCACCCGCAGAGGCCCTGTGCTAGGACTGCCCCCCACCAGCAGCAATTTGTCGGTTTATGTGAGCATGTGCCTCTGGTCCCTAAGGCCCTAGGGCATGAATTAAGAAAAAAACCACAGATGGAAATATGACATGCAAGTAGAAAATGGGAAAGGCTGGGCAGGATCAAAACAAATGAGGAAGAAAAAGAAGACAAGGAATATATTTAGAATTGGAGCCAATATGTTATAAAAAGGAACCCCCCAACCCCCACTTCAGAGCCTTGAGAAATCAGCTCTTCTACCTCTTGGGCCTTCATCTCCACGCAGGGCTCGGTACACAGGACACCTCAACCCATGCTGACTCCCATGCGCTCCCCCCCACAGGACCACCCGGGGGCCCTCGGGGCTTAGGAGGTCATGGAGGAGGGGTCAGATGCGAAAAAGAAAAAGGTGGAAGGAAATCTTGGAGGAAAAGCAAAGCTGGAAAGATCCCCTCCCTGATTACAAAAGCTTGATGACTCCCCCTGACAATTGGCTGTGTTACAGGGACCTCTGCCGTGAGAGGTATCACGGCGGTCCGGGGGGAGCATTTCCATGTTGAAAGAAACAGACATGAAACAAGCAGACAGACCAATGCGCGCACCTAGGACAGTCCCTGTGGAACTCACAGGACACCTCCCACCCCCGATGCGAAGGCCAGGCGCCGGCTTCCCCAGCACCGCCAAGTCCCCAGAACGTGCTAACGACTGTGAGCACTGGGGCTCTTCTCTGCGTGCGGCTCTGTTCAAGTAACGCTGCAGCACACACCTGAGGAGCTCCTCCTCTAGGAACACGTAACCCCCAAATCAGCAAATGGACAGGAGATACCAACAACATAACTAAGAGGCCAATTTTGGGTTTTTAACAATATTCACTGAAAAAGAGGAGGGAATAAAACAAAACAGAACATGGAATACGGAGCTGAGGTCGTAATGCCCTCCCCTAATACCTAGGACTTCCGGGGTGGGCTTTTGGTCTTCGTCTTCCCCCCTCCAAAACTTGGCATCCTTTGAGTTTAGGGGATGCCACTTCCCCGCTTCATGCAAAGGCAAATGTCCCAAGCTGTCTCATTTACTTCTTGTCCTGGCGTGCTTTCTGATCAGGGCATATTAGAAGCACGTGGCGCTGGGAAGTCAGACCCTCCTTCTCTTCCTCCTCTTCAGAAATTACTGTAATTCACAGCTGTGGTCAATTTGAATGCAACACATACAGAACATGCCTGGCCAATCTTTCCAAGAGAAAATTCAGTGAATACTTTCTCTGTTTTTATAAACCCACTCTTAGTATGTTTTCTTGCGTTACCGCATTCAGTGAAGTTTAAATTACCCCACGGCCTGGTGCCTAGCTGTCTGATGCACTACACACTAGTCCTAAAGGGAAACATGGACCCCTGATCCTGACCAGTTCCCTAGGGACTGTACAATAAGTTAGAAGCAGCAGTAACACTACCACCAGCAATTAAAAAACAAAATAACCAAAAATAACAAAATAAGAAAACGCTGCAGCAAGTACAGTGGCCTTGGCAGAGCGAGCGAGCAGGTTGGGGGGATTACATACCTCCTGGAGTTTGGGGCAAGGAAAAGGAGAGCCAAAATCATGGAAACATACAAATGAGGGAGAAAAGAAAATTAAAACAAAGAAATTAAACCAAACTCCTTAATCTTAAAGTGCAATGTATTAGTCATTCACATCTGCCCTGGGGAAGCCAAACATAAAATCACTAAACGGGGCGAAGGCCACTGTATGGCATGTGAATGGGGGAGCCCGTTTCACCTGCCACACACCACCTGGTGAAGGCGGGCTCTGCGGCACTCCCAAAAACCTGGCCCCAAATATGCCGCAGATCCGTGCTCACAAAGCTAATGTTTATTGGTCTATCCAGAATCCAGAGCTAAGAGAGGAAAATTTGGGGGAAAATTTAATGTCTTTCTGCAGATGGCTGTCACTTTTTAAGGTGTGTGTAAGAATTCACACACATATTCCCATGAATACATACGTACACATGTGTGCACACGAGAATACACATTCTTACGGCTATATGCATACACGGACATACACACACAACTGCAGATGGCTGGAAGCCTGCCTTCTGCAGCACGTAAGTACACAGGGGTGATCCTAAGTGGCTACAATGAAAACACAGTATGAAGAGTTAGGGGTTTGGAGGAGCTTTAGAAAAGGTAATGCAATGACCTAAAAACAAGTCCCACATTTTGTTAATTTTTTTTTCCTTTTAAAAATATGGGATGCCTCATGAATTTACATGTCATCCTGGTACAAGAGCCAAGATAATCTCTGCACTGTTCTAATTTTAGCATCTGGGCTGTCAAAGCTAACACTCAGCATTAGCATTTAAACAAATTTCACTGGAGGGGAAGTAAATCTAAACTTCGATGTACTTTTTAAATTTCCAGTGGTTTTCTTTTCAGCTCGATCCATCTGGCAGGAAAGGTGCAGGGCAGGCTGGCTGGCTCTGCGGTTAGCAATTTTAGAACCTTCATTTCAAGGATTCTACTGGCTTAAAGGCCTGAGAAATGTCGACCATCTCAAGAGCTAAGTCAAAACTCCCATTGGGGAAGTGGTGCTTTCAGAATTCATGAATTAAGTCATTATATATAAACATGAGGACTTGGGATATGCTTTTTAAAGGACCTATAAATCCTACTGCTACCTGAACTCATCAGAAATTAAAACAGACTCCATTTCAGCATTTCTCAGAGGCTTCAGTCATCGCCAAGAGAGGAATGACTTCTAATTTCACCAGGCCTAGTAGCCGAAATGGTAGAAGGGGATCATTCTAACGAGCACCTCCTGGTGATGAGGGAATCAAAAGGCCAAGGCCGAAGAAAACAGAGGAATGTATCCTCTCAGGGCCAAAAAAGTGCTCATTATGTCCAGGGGCTCTCTCAGTGTTCTGGAACAATTAATGAAATAATCACATCCGGGCACAAATGTCATGAAAACCCTACTTTTCCTCTTGGTTACTCTATCACCTCCAGGCATGACCACAAATCTCAGCAACATAACCTCACTTTTGGCCGAGGGAAAAGGAATATTTTTAAAAAATTTTTCTGAATGAACAAAATCATTAAAGTGGCTGATCTGGATTGGAAAGCAGGTTGGGCGGGGCGGGGTGGGGGACCACTGCCCGAGAATGAGTAAGAGCGCTGTGGGTCGCATTGCAGCCAAGGGCTCAGGTTTGCCATGCATTCTGCCTGTGGGGAGCCAGATGCAGCAGGAAGTGATGATGCACTGGGGTGGGGGAGGCGGGAGCACCAGATACAAATCTGTGTGATGGGAAGTAGAGAGATGGACACGGCTGGCCACCCTCCCCGGGACGGAGAGGGCAGAGAAAGGAAAGGGACCAGGTTCTTCGGGAACTGCCTTGAAACAAAACCTGGCCAATCAATTCCAGAGTAAAAATGTGGAGCGCAACCCCATGGGAGCAGTGTTTATGCAGAGCGAATCTGTACCCAACACTATCTCGATATCCCAAGGGGGCACTGACTGTGCATTCACTTCCTTTCCGGAGATGGATCTCGGGAGAACACTAGCAGTTCATACCAAAGTCTCTCCACAATGCCTCCTATAACCAACCCCCACTCTCCCGCAGCGCATGTACGTGCGAGTGCATGCACACATCCTTTCTTTCTCAGTTTCTGTGCCAGGAGCCCTAACCCAGAGTGCATTACTTACCAAGTTTCAATAACCAGCCTTCCCGGTCTGGGTTGAAGAAAGTGTGAGTGAGGTCATTCCCATCATCTTCTGGGATTTTAAAGGGTTCGTTTTTTATGCTCTCATACAGATTCTGGGATAAAAGATGACATTGCATGTCTCTGATTCTAGAAATATCTCTTCTCCCTCCCCCTTTCTCTTCGTTCATTCAATAAGCATCGGTTATGTGCCATGCATTTGCCAGGCACTGGGAACAGAAGAACATGACCAGTTCTGCCTTCAGGCAGCTCTCAGAGACAAAATAAATAAGGCACCTAATGGATAGTTAAGAAAGAAAAGAAAGCAGCCTGACTTGCACTCACGCTTTTAGTTTCAGACTTAGAAGCCACTTTCCCCTCCTGATTCCCTCGCTGGGCCTCACTACCAATTTCTTAATGGAAGTCACACAGTTAAATGAGTTTTATGAGCAGACACTCGGTGGAGCATATGTCTCTCTCCTGCCCCGAGTTCACCATCTCCTGGCTTAGAGCGAGCTCACCCGGAGCAGCTCCTCAGGCAGGTCTCCCCCATCGTTGATGCCGCGATTCATGGCGATGAACCTCTCCACGGTGGGCTTATCTTTGACATTGGGGTTGTGCAGGCTGGTGTTCAACATGATGATGGCAAATGAGAGGACGTAACAAGTGTCTGAAGAGAAAAGCAGAAAGAGGATCAGAAGCATCCCCCAGAAGGACCAAGAAACATCTGACGACATCCAGACTAAAAGCCATGCTCTCAAAAGGAGGAGACAAATCCACACGTCTGGGTGCCCTCCAAATGAAAGCTATATACTGCAAACTAAAAAGAGCAAGGCACAAAGAAGTGCATCAAATGTTCAAAACTTAAGGCTGATTATATTTCAGATTGCAAAAGGAGACCACAGACACCCACAACACCTCAATCTGAAAAACAACACGATGTATAAAAAAGAAAATACAAAATACCTATAATCCCACTACCTGGTAACAACTTATTTTGCTTTACTACACAAATGTGCAGCACATCACAAATGTAGCTCACAGATGCATATTCTTAACAAAACTGGAATCAAAACAGATACATAGTTTTGAATCCTGCTTTTCTGCTGACCTTACTAGCATTTTTCCCATGTCAATAAAGCCTCTTTTTTAAACACATTTTTATTTTTTAAATTCTTTCATAAAATTGGAGTATGGCAGACACACAAGTGTGTGCGCGTGCATTGTACGTAACTCCGCGCTCCCCGCCGTGTGCTCAGCACCCGCCACCATGCAGCGTTGACTACAGCAATTATTAACTGCTCCTAAGCTGCACTTGCCAAACTTCCACTTGCAACGTAAGTGAGCCACAGAGACGAAGAGCATGACTTTTAATAGGTGCACATTGCCTACGTCTCAGCTACTCCAACTTACATTCCCACCTCCTTATTCCTACTCCCTGGACTTCTGGAACATTCCCAACTTTTTACTATCATAGCTACCATTTCACTCAATGTTCTTGGCATGAACCTAGGCCCTGTTGTTTTGGAAACTACCTAGTGCCCAGAAAGACTCGTGTGAAAGGCTGGCCGTCAGCGGGGCATGCGGCCGTCCTACCTGTGGACTGGAACACCCCAGTATTACACTGGCAATAGCGCTGGGCAAACGCTTCCATCATCCGGTCAATCTTCTGGGCCTCCCCTGGCAGCCGGAAGCTCCACAGGAACTGCCTACGTAATGAGGACAGGTGTGTCACTGCGCTGGGGCTCGGAGGCACCACTCACTTCTCCGGGAACAGGTGCTACACTTCCGTGGGTTTTAATACAAAAGGGCAAAAGGGGACCCACTGGCATGGGGCTTCTTATCCCGCAGCTCTGCGCAGGTGCAAGCTTACAGTTCTACATCACGGTTCTCTTAGTCAAAGGCAAAGTTTTAAGAAAACATGAAAAATTAAGATTTTCCCGTATAAGAGAATGGGTCTCCTCAGATGAATACACAAGACTGAAATAGAAATAATGCTCAGGTTAATGAGCTCCCGTCTCCAGAAAACAAGATGAGGTGGCCGAAAAAGAGAAAATTTTTCTATCAGAATATTCACAATTGATCCCTTTAAGTCAAAGAGAGACCCATGGCCAATAGGTCTCACTGTGCTTTACTTTCATCTATCCAAACAGCAACACAAAAGTTGATGCTGTTGACACCCCCAGCAGCGAGGTCACCGAGGAGCAGTGTCTCAAAAGATGTAGTAAAAATGGGGGCACCTGGACGGTTCAGTCGGTTGGGCATCTTGGTTTCGGCTCATGGGTCACAAGATGGAGTCGCACCTTGGGCTCCACGCTCAGTGCAGAGTCTGCTTGGGATTCTCATTCCCTCTCCCACCACCCCTCCCCTGCCTTTGCACGTGTGTGTGCGTGAGTGTGCACTCTCTCTCTCAAATAAATAAATCTTAAAAAAAGAAAAGATTTAATAAAAAATGAAAATTTACTCTCCTTCTGAGATGAAGTGAACAGCTACTGACTTCCTATTCTAGGGCAGGGGATTAAAGGGCCTTCTAAACTGAAAATTAGAAAAAATTTCAAAATTTAAACATTCACCAATTTCCCAATGAAATTTCCCAAATGAAATACATGAAGAAGAGTTTTGCAAAATTTGCCTTCAGGATGCAGTGTCATTCTGTTCTCTTTAACCATCCGACCCTCTTGGTCACAGGCTCTTCAGGATGTCCAATAGAGCCCCCAAAATATCCTTTCACCAAAACGCCACACAGGACAGACGCAGCCTCAGAGACGGGCCTCTCCCACCTTCCAGGGCACCCTCCCCAAACGCACTCACCGTAGCGCCTGGACAAGGTTAAGGTCAGTGAACTCATGTAACTCCACAAATGCATGAAGAACCTGGATATTAAACTCGTCTCTAGCAGGAAAAACAAAAGATGGGGTGGGGGGGGAGCGGAAGTCAGACACCGAGCCTGAGAATCCAAGCCGTGCAGCCCCAGCCAGGCCCTTTCCACGCTGAGGGCCACAGTCCCGCCGCCTCCACACCCAGTGAGGAAGAAGCCCACGTCCCTCTGTCCCCACGCCTCTGTAACACCAGCCACTGTTCCCCCGCACTCAGCCGCCTCAGGACAGAGCTCTCTTCGGGGACGGGAAGCATTCTGACCAAGTCAGCGCTCCTGACCAAGCCGCTCTGCCACTGGCATCCCCCGAGGCCTTACCTCTCCCCCAGGTAGTCACCAATGGCGGTTTTGTTAAGGCCTTCCCCTTTGTACAAGAACTGGGCAATGTCTTCACAAGTATTCTTCAGCAGATCATTCTCTATTAAGAACTGGATCCCCTAGAAGACACAGCAAGGATGCCAATGACACTCACCCTGGAAACCTCCAGGAAGGAGGGGAAAGGGCACAGGAAGGACAGGTGTGGGAATCCAGACGCGCAGGAGTACCTAATAAATACCGGGCAACGGACACGCAGGGTCAGGGGAGGCCCAGCTGGGGAGGGGCTGAGGACGTGACAATGGGATGTGTGCTCTACGGAAGGGCCGGAGCCGTGACGGACAGCACCGGGCTCTAGCTGAGCCCGCAGTCACTCCATCTTAGAGCCGAGGGCTCCAGCACCACCCTCTCACTCACCTTTTTAGGGTCCATGTTAAACTTTTTCCTGCCCATGGCTACCTGTTTGTTCCTCTGCATGTTTTTCCTGAAAAGCAACCACCACAGCCATGTCAGTCCTCCAGGCAGTCAGGAGGCTGGGAGAGACGAATGTCATTCCCACCTGCACCCACTGACTTGTAGGGGGTCTCAAAAGCACTATCAGGAGAGCGTGGGCATACTTAGCCTACGTGTGGAAGGTCAGCTGAAATCCTAACCCCAGCCCCACGTCCATTTGTTCCTTCTACCCCAGGGCCTTTCTTTTAACATGATTTTTTAAAAAACTTTATCCAGTTATCATGTACATATCACATAACAGACCCATTTTAATGGTACATCTGAACGATTTTTAGGAAGCTTACGAAGTCGTGCAGCCATCACCGTGATCGGGTTTAGAACATTTTTACCACCCAGCGAGGGTGTGCTGCATGAGCGACAGGCCGCCCACCCCCTGTGCCTGCCGGCCAGCATGCCAGTGCCCTGCAGGTGGGGCCACGCAACTCGAGAAGGTCGTAAGTGCTGCCGGCCACGGCACGGGCGCGTGTGGCACACAACGAGAAGGTGCCACGCCGGGTCCCAGCGGCCACGCCAGCTCACCAACACCAGGGACCCCAGGCCCACTCTTAGTTCTGGGCTGTCTTCTTATCACCGAGTTGCATGTGTTCTTTACATAGATATTCTGGATACCAGCCCTTTTTCAGACACACTAGTGCAAATGTTTCTACTTGTCTGTGGCTCACCTGCCTATTTCTTTTCATAGTATCTTTAAGAGCAGAAGTTTTAAATTCTGATAAACTCCAATGTAACCACTGCTTTAAAGCTACAATTTTTTTAAACGTAAAGTTAAGAAAGCTATAATCCCAAACTGACAATAGAAAGCCTGGAAGTGATGAGCTGGCCATTTTCGGTAGACCGCGCAGCTTCACTAATCTCTAATGGCACCGCCCACACCCACTTAAAATAACAAACTCAAATGGTCTTAGGAAGCCAGACTGGGGACTTAGGCTTAGAAAAATACAGACATGTAGTTGAGTTAGAAACAGCCCAGTTAGTGCATTAAGTACTTAGAAAACGGTCTGGGAACCCCATTCAAAACTAAACTCTGGAGGTCGCTGATGCTTCATGCCGTTACCCTGCGAACAGTCCTCGTCACGTTGCACTACAATGCCCATGTCCACGCTCTGCTCCCAAGCCTAGGGGAGGGCACAAGCAAGCCCCCTGTGGCTCCCAGACACAGCTGGGCGATCCAGCCTTCAAAAATGATGCGAGCAGCATTAAGCTTTTCCTCGACACAAAGGAAAAGCACAAACTCTAAAACGCAAACACAGTGGGTAGCAGAGGAAAGAAACACCAGTTCACACAGCCATTTAAGGGCTGTTTCAGGTTTTGGGGGCCTTCAGAGCTCTCTGGTTCAACGTCTGCAATGATGTGAGAGGCCCTCACCTGCTGGAGCCCCTGCACTGACGGGGGGAGGACAGAAAACATGGTGACGCGTGTGCTTGCTAGGGACCGAGGACAGAAAGTGCTCCCTCCATTCACAGGCCGCAAGCACAGGTCGGTGCTTGGCGAGGCTGCAGCCACACCACCCGGCGACCAGCTGGACAGACTCACCTTTCTTCTGTGGACCCGAGGTTTTCAATTTCATTAGCTACCTCTGCTATCTCATCCTTGAGCCTCTACAAAACAGAGAGTCCAGAATTACCAGGAGGGGCCGAAGCAAGTGAGAGGAGCCCCTCTAACAGCTCACATAACTCCCTCCAACCAAAAATAAGATAAAATAAACCAAAATGAAATAAAATAAGACAAACCAGAGAAAAAAATCTTTAACATTTGGAAAATTCATTTATTCGACAAATATTTATTGGGCTCCTACCAGATAGTACACATTCCAGGGACTCCACAGGTAAAAGAGATAGCTCCTGACTTCAAGGAGTTTATGTCTAGGGAAGCTTATAATCACAGACACTATGTAAGATACGTATTTTTCCACTGAAAGGTGGCTGCCTCGATCGGTCGATCAGAGCATCTCGGCAGCCTGCGAAGCGAGTGTGCGTGAAGAGTCAGGAGGAATGAATGACCCACACACCCAGCCTGCCAGGCCAGAGGCGCTTGGGCTGGGACAACACTGCCGCCCAGCGGCGGGCAACAGGAACATCCAACCCAAGCTCCAGCCTACACCCCCCCCCCCCCCCCCCCCATAGGTGTGGCAGACCCTCCGAATGGACAGTCCCGGTGAAGGGGGCTTCGAGGGAAGAACTGCTGAGATTTCCTAGCATTTACCAGTGAAATAGGAATCAAAGAATTAGTGCAAATGATCAAATTCTACTGAAGCCAACACTGGAGCAAGTCTTTCCACAGTCTGCAGCTTTGGGGTTCCAGGGAATGTCCCCTCCCTCCCCTCCCCACCCCCGAGCTCCCAAATGTTTTACAAAGAATTCTACGAGAATAACATCTGCTGCCCCAAGGGCTAAAATAATCCAACCAATGGCTTCTATGACTTATGTCCTACAAAGCTTCGCAGTTACGCAAAGGATCTTAGAAACACTGATGAAACAGCGCTCGCTGGTGAAGCATCTTGTAGGGAACAGGGCCTCATTTAACCCTGACAGCAACCTACCAACAGGTGCTTTCATTCTTATCTCACAGCTGAAGAGGCTGAAGTTCAAAAAATCCTTTTATCTGAGATCACTCCTCTGGGAAGAGGCAGAGCCAGGACTGGACGTGGGTCTAGCTTAACCCGAAGCCCGCGTTCCAAGCACCTGAGCCCTCACCCATGCCGCACTCGGCAGTGAAAACCCTGCTTGGGAGTCAGGGGGCCTAGGGTCACCTTGTTCTGACAAGTGACCACCTGGGTGAGGGCTTCACAAACCAGCTAGCCTCAGCTTCCCTCTTCCCACCGGTGAAACCAAGGTGACTGTCAGGAACTACACTCTGCTCAGAGCTGGGCTAGGGTCAACTCAGAAGATGTCATGAGGAGACTGTAGAACAGGACGTCTGTCACACCGCACCCGTCACCGCTGTGACCGCCTACCTGAATGTCAGCCAGTAGCTCCTGCTTTCTCCGCCGGATGTTCTCCAGTTCCTGACGCTCCTCTACAGTCAGGTCACTGGGAACTACAGGAAAGGAGGGAAAAGTTACTAAGAAAGCTTTATCTCACCAAAAATAAACAGACTCCAGAGACCACAAAAGGACAAGGACGCCACGGAAGAAACCAGAAGCCCACTTTGGAAATGGGGACAGCTCTGGCCCCCATTCTCCCTCAGCTTCACCAAAGGAAGAAAGCACCCTGCTCACAGAGAAAAGCTCGCTGAAGGAGCACTTGCCATGGAAACAAGAGAGAAAAGGCAGCCTGAGGTCAGATGAGGCTGGCCAGGGATAAGAGGGCACTGTCAGCGGAGCCCTGGCCATCTTCAGCCCTGACAGCGGGGACACTTCAGGCCCCCCCGGTGAGCCCGTGTCTCGCAGCCTCAGCCCCCTCATTGGACCCCCGCCCCTGACCGGAACCCACTTCCACGACTCCCTGAAGTGGGGAGGGGGTGGGTGGTACTTGCAAAACAACATGAACACTTTTGTGCCATTTCTGGAGGGGGAGGGGACAGACTAGACATGTACAGAGAAAAAAATTTAGAAGGATATACCCCAACTGAGCACTTAGCTCTAAGGACCGGGTTATGGAGACTCTGCTCTCTGCTTTACACGCTTCTGACTATGTTTTCATGAGCTCTCATCCTGAGAAGAGTCACTGAGTTCCCGGTCACAGTTCCCACCCCCACGAGACATGGCCCCCCTCCCAGGCTGCACCTCCTCACCTGTAAGAACAGGGGCTTGGGACAACAGCCCCCTCAGAGGACCCTTCTGAACGTGCTGGGCAAAACCACGCAGTCAAAGGGGAACACAAGCACTCGCGTCTGGAAAACCTGGGCTCAAATCTGGGCTCCAACCCGCCACACACCACGTAGGGGCGCCTTACACAAGTCAGCCCATCCAGGCCCCATGTCATCAGCGGAAAAGCAGGCACACACCACTGCAGGCTGGTGTACGGTCGGAGTCCACCAGAGAAAGTGCCTCAGAGCCCACCTGGGGCTTCACGGGAGCTGCAAACTGTTGGGTCCTGTTTCCTTCTGGGCAAAAGCGAAAGGCACCAGTGTGGCCGGACGGAAGGGGCAGCACAAGGATGCTTCTAGACTCGGCAGGGGCCTGCACGAGTTAGAACCGCACCGTGAGATACGGCGGCCACCAAGCACCTGAAACGTGACTAGGCCAGATTGAGGTGGACTGTATGTATAAAATACACGCCAGACTTTATTCAAAAAGGTAAAATATCTCCTTAATAATATTTTATGTTGATTACACATTGAACTCATTACTTGATAAATAAAATATACTATTTTAATTGATCTCACGTGGGCTACGAGAAAGTAACGCTGCATTTTGTGGCTCAGACTACATTTCTACTAGACAGCATGGACCTGGGACAACAGCTCTGCTTGAAAGTGCAGGACCCATAGCTCTCCTTCTGTGACACTGAGACTTTACTGCATTCAGAGACCAGTTACTTGCCCCAAATATTTCATAAAAATCATGGAAGACAACAACAGTGTAGAAACAACAGACAGTGAGGTCTACGGCACAGGTAAACTACCCCCATTAGATCAGCTGGCTTTTTTACATGGGCTGCACACCCGGCACGGAGCCCAACGCGGGGCTTGAAGCCACAGCCCTGAGCCCCAGACCTGAGCCGAGACCAAGAGTTGGACACTCAACCGACTAAGCCACCCAGGTGCCCGTAACTTTTCTTTTTTTTACCCAGCGTTCCCCCGACCCTCCTCTAGAAAACTGTCTTTTAAACTTCCCCAAGATGCATTAAAAAATGCATTTGCTATCACGACCCGATCTTCTCCATACACAACAGCACCAGAAATGTACCTTCTTCATGCGACAGCCACTGACATTTTCTATCATTTTACCCTTCGTTTTCTTCACAGTGGCTGTGAAGTGTCCCAGCCTAACTCAGGCTCTGAGTCCTACAGTAGGAAGCCCCAGTGTCAGAGGCTGGAGGGTTCCGGCGGATGACGGAAAGCCAGCCCAGGTCACCTTCTGACAGTGACCTCACTGCATCGCTGGGAACTCAAGGGCTGCCTGAGCAGCTGGGCCAGTGACAAGTCAGCTCTAGTTAGAGCGAACGCCACTCTGAGAAACAACACAGACTCCGTTCTCGAGAAAAGCACACACACTTAAAGGAGTTTATTCCAGTTTTTCTGGATTTCACAGAGCAGATTTTCTAGTCCATGAAGACTAGAAGATCATTTCAGAAATAATTTCCTCAGGTTCTAGGAGACAAATATTCATTCTAACATAACATGGTTTTGAAAATTTGAGGCAAAAGTTCATTTTTAATAGCTGTTCCATGGGGGAGAATAACCAGGCTGTGCTTGTGAAGCCAGAGACGGCTTAACCAGACCAATGCGTCCCTACCCAAGCGGAGGCGAGACTAAGGCCCTCGGAATGAGGCTGATGAAAAACAGACCCAGCACGTAGAAAATTTACATCTCAAGACTTGCTGTGCGCCCCGAGAAACCAAAGTTTCTCATTCCAGATTGGGAAATCTCTGTGGCTGCTTTCTTTTGAGAACCTCAGCACCCACCCAGTCCAGGTTAGCATTCACACATGACCATTCTTCGAGGTCACAATCCAGTTTCTGTGTTACAAATTCAGAACGTACAGCCGTGCAGCCGATCCTCCACCTGCCAAGATACTATTTTAGAAACAGTAAAGGAACTTTTTAAAAGCTATAAACCTACAACATCGAAAAGTCCAGGGAGAGGACCGACTGGCAGAAGAGATTTCAACTAACTTCTGGGACAGACAGAGCAGAGTGCCAACTCCTCCTTCTGGAAGGCAAACTGCGGGCGCAGGGGCCTCGGGTGCCCATCACGGCCGTGTCTGCAGAGCCCGGCACAGTGCCTGACACAGCATAGGCTGTGCATGTCTGTGCCCTCGGCCTAACAAAACAACTGAGCGGGCAGCTGAGCCGGGAGACCTGGTGCTGCCCTTACAGCAAAGTCGGTTCACACCCAGCCAGACGAAAGCAGAGCCTCACTACACACGAGGTCCGCCCCACACACGGAGCTCCCATTTAACCTACTATCCCCATTGCATCTTTCTTACACCCACAGGGATGGCGGAACCTACAGGCCAAATGAGAACCAGCAAGGAAGGGAACAGAAAACCCACCCTGGAGCAGAACAAAAGAAAACTTCAAAAGAACAGAAAACTCTGGGAAAGGGACAGTTAAACAATACACTCCTGGAAATTAAGCCTATTTTTGTCCCTCAGCCTCCCCCTATCAAAAAGGGGTTAAAAGATAAAGGTGAGGCACCTGCAGAATAAAGAGCAAAAAAGACTTGAAGATAGAAGCAGAAATGGACTCACTCAGGAAAACAGTCGTTGTAAAAATTCAGAAGTTGGAGAATTCAAGATGATCCTAAAGCCTCCATGAGCAGGAAGGGGAAGGAGGCGGCCGGTGTAACAGTGGACTGGGAGACAGAGGAGGGGCTTTCGAGGGTCTAAATAAAAATGACTTTGACCCTAGAACTAATTCGCAGTCATTGTGGAGGACAAAACAGAATCATTGCAGGCACAGGAGGACTCAAAGTTTAGCTCCTTCAGGAGGAGGAAGATGCGCGCCCAAGGACGGGGAAGGAGCAGCCTCGGGAGCCCGAGGAGAACACACATGCTCTTGTGCGTGGACAGGAAGCCGACCAGCCGCCCGCAAGCAGCTCATCCCAGAGAAGGAATGGGAAGACAACGGAGATGTATTTATAATATGCGGAGGCACCACGGGGCCTTCTCTCAACATAAAGAGGATCACTGGAAACAGAGCAACAACTGAAGGGCATCATGAGCCAGCCACAGCTGACAGCGTTCAGGGGAGGCGAGAGAGCAGAGTGCACTGGTCAGTGCTGGGAACGTCTCCCGAGAGAGCTCCAGGCCGAGCAGCAAGTACATCCTTGTAGGTGCTGTGCACGCTTGTCAACTTCTAGAGTCAACCTGCAGACGCAGCATGAAGGCTAATCTCAATCACGCCTTATCGATGGTGAAGGCCAGAGCCAGGGAGCAAACGGAAAGGTTGGGGGGTGGTCCCCACGGCACCTGCTTACAAAAGCAGGGACAGAAGTAAAAGATCAACGAACAAGAAAATGAAGCTGTAAATATGTGTATGGAAGTTCCAAAAGTGAAAACAAAGGCAAAAACTGATAAACCATCAAAAATGGACAGCAAGAGTGTGAAGGAGAATGATGTGACGTGGAAGAGGTCAAGAGACCATCTCCAACTTGATAAAATCATCAGTGGGATGAGAATATTAATATGCACTTGGCAGCATCTACCACAAGATAAAAGCCAGAAAAAGTTAATTACTAGCGGTTGCTTCTGGGGGATGGGTCTGGGAATAGAGAGATGGGTCCTATGAATACTTGCTTTAAAAAAAATACACGTAGGTACTACTGCATTTTTTAAAGAGATTTTATTTATTTATTTATTTATTTGAAAGACAGTGCACACAAGAGAGCCTGAGGTGGGGCCAGGCAGAGGGAGAGGGAGAAGCAGGCTCCCCACTGAGCAGGGATCCCAGGATGCCAGGATCAGGACCTGAGCCATCCAGGTGCCCTAGTAGTACTGCACTTTTAAAAGGAAAAATAAAAATATTCATCTATGGTTCCTAGAAAAGACAGGCCTTCTACGTCCTGGCGGTCAGAAGGAGGCAGCGGCTGGCTAATTTGCAGTGAGAATAAACAAGATGTGTATTCACAAATGCTTCAATGCGGTCTCCTGACATTAACCACAGGATCTCTAAACCCCCGCTGCATTCCACCCTTAGCCACCTTAAATCACGGCGCTGCTTGCCTTAGGGTTCAGCAAACCATCTGAGAACTTCTTTTAAAGAAGGGCAGGTTTCCATCTCACCTTTCTAGAGTTCTTCCGAGACCAGGAAAAATCCAGCACCCTAACATACATACCTACCGCGCTTAAACTCATGGAGGTAAGGTCACCTCGTCACTTCAAGCCCTCACTCGCACTGCCCAGGAGGAAAGTAAATGCCATGGAGAAAATGCTTCACTTCACTTAACAGCAGAAAGAATCAAAGCCGTGGCTGGAGAGGGAGAGGGGTGAGCGACCCCCAGGATCCCAGGATCGGGCAGGCCGCGGCCGGGGCAGGAAGGGAAGGCACAGCTGCGCACAACCCCCCACTCCCCGCGTGCCTGGAAAAGCAGCCTGGGCCCCAGGAAGGGCACGTACCAGTGCCGTGGCTTTCGCTCGAAGCCATGAGGGTTAAACTGTAGAAGCTCGGCTGATGGGCCAGATGGCAAAGAAACAAACAACTCCCCCCTCCCCCGGCTGCCACGCGCTGCAGCCACGCTTCTGTGCCAGGAAGCCGGCTAGGCCCCCTTCTCCCGAAAAGAATGGCAACCAGGGAGGCAGCAGCCCCAGCACAAAAGATGGGGAGCAGAGTGCCTGGGGGTCTAGAGGCCTTAGGAATTCTCCTGCAAAGGTTAATTTACAAGGTGTCCCCCTTCCAGCAAGGGGGCTAGTCCAGTCCCTCCTTAGTCCCTTGCAGGGGTTCCAGTTCAATGGAGGGGATTAGAGTGCGGACAACAAGGGACCATTGTGCTCAGCTGTGAATAGAAAAGCCACACAAGGGAAGCTTCCATTTATTTCTTTATTTAAATGTTGCTCTGCAGATTTTACCAGTCGGCAGAAGCCCAGAGCTGAAATGTGCTCCATCCAGCACATACAAAGGAGGACTGTCTTAAAGGGACAGCTCCCATAAACAAGCACATGGCGGCAATCAAGCTCCGCTCAGCTGCTCCCCTTTCGGCCGCGCCGCTCCCCACCCCCACCCCCACCCCCAGCAGCCAGGAGCAGGTGCCCAGCGATCCGCCATGAAGTTCAATCGAAAAAGCAGTTCTTCTGAGAGCAGTTTCTGCTCAGCAGGAACACAGGCAGCCACCTGCCAAAACGGACCACTCAGTCCTACAACCCCGGGAGTGTTAAAGATGTGCTTTAGGACCAAGACACCACTCTCAGAGGTCATCCAGCAATACCAGGTCCCTCTGCCTAGCTCTAAAACACACCACTTGCCTTGTTTTTCCAACCATAATCATCAACCATCGCCCTTTTTATATATAGCCCCTGCCTTTCAGTGGGTAAGAGGGGTCCAAATTTAAACCAGCACAGGAGGGAAATGTTTTAAGAAGTGAGGCCAAGAATCTAGAAAGGTCCTTCCTTTCCCCCACTCCTGGAGAAGGTAAACAGACAGGAGAGAACACCCTAGTCCAAGTTCCCACCCGGGCCAGGGAGGGCATCAGTGTCCAGACACTCTCCTGGCTCTCCGGTGCACCGGTACCAGAGGTACCCCTGGAATAAGCAAGGCCAAACCCTTTACAGACGTGTATGTTTTATGAAACTGAAAACACACGGCCTCAGACACCTAACTGTAAGCCCCAGCTGAAATAGAAGGAGCAGTGGCAAAGTAAAGTACCAGGCTTTCTTATACCCTCTCTAGAAACTGCTACCAGCTCTAGAGAGAACACAGCTATTTACAAACAGCTTTCGGGCTCAAGAGTGCAAATCTGGGAAACTGTTTGGGAGTGAAGTCCAGAGACTTAAAGGTCAAAGGGCCTGCATTTACCAACCTTGTACTTGTGCAGATCCTACCAGTTAGATGCCTCATGCTGCCCCACCCTATGCGGGTGAGTCATCTGGTCTCCCAGGAAATCCCAGTGACTTACAATGTGAAAGATTCAAGAGACTAGAAAGAACTCAGGCGTTGGAGACCAACATTTAGCAAACTTCCACAAAACTCTCCATTCCAAGCTGACGTTGGTATACCTGGGGGATAAGAACGCAACCAACATCCACAGCATCTCTCAGGTAAAGGGCAACACAGGGATATGGAAAACAAACAGCTGTAATGACTAAGGAACTGCAATGAAAGCCTCAAATTCAGACAGGCCTCAGGACAGCCGGCATGACCAGAGGGCAAGGGAGGGAAAACAAGAGCACACAGACAGGACCAAAGCCCGAAACCTGGTGGCACCCATGAGCCAACAGTGCCTACGGTCACGTCAGACCTTTAGAGAAAGTCTGCAAACTTTAGAAAACCAATGACTTTTCCTTCCTCCTAAGTCAAGACCATGGCAATCCTTTCTAAAACTGAATACAGTATTGTTCCACCTCGAGAAGGAAGGAAAGCCTGACGCCTGCTATAACACGGATGAAGCTTGAGGACAGCATGCTCAGTGAAATCAGCCGGTCATAAAAGGCCACATGCTGTAGGATTCCACTTCTGTGAGGTCCCCAGAGCAGCCAAATCCAGAGACACAGAGTAGGATGGAGGCTGCCAGGGGCTGGGGGCAGGGAGCTGGGGAGGTGGTGCTGACTGGGGGACGGAGTTTCCATTTTACAAGATGGAAACTTCTGAAGACGGGCTGCACAACACTGTGACTATCCATAACGCTACTGAACCGTATGCTTAAAATGATAAATTTTATTTTGCATGTACTTTACCACTAAACGTACAAAAAGTTAATAGCAGTATCCTGACTTCCTGATTTCTGCTTACTGTACTCGTCTCCCCTGACACTTACAAAGTATCTCACCACCAATTTATGGCCTAGGAGATTTTATTTTTTAAAAGATTTATTTATTTATTTATTTATTAGAGAGAGGTGGGGAGAGAGTGGAAGGAGCGGCAGAGGGAGAGATAGTCTCAACCAGACTCTGAGCTGAGTGCAGGGCTCGATCTCATGACCCTGAGATCACGATCTGAGCCGAAACCAAGAGTCAGAAGCTCAACTGACTGAGCCAGCCACCCAGGCAACCCCGCCTAGATTTTAAAGGAATTTGCGTACAAATCGTGGACCAGAAAGAGTGAAATGCTAGTGAAATTAGCGTGTGGCTCCCATAACTGATATTCAAGACAGAGAGGCCAGAGGCTCCTTCTAGCAAACTGCCAACGCGAAAATTTACTCTTCCAGTTTAAATTCTTTCCATATAAAAGCCACCCAGTCTCCTACTCAGGAGGAAGGACAGCTACATTAATGATTTTATTACCATTTTCTGCATCTTTAAGAAAAACTCTGTTCTCACCTCAGTCTTGGAGCCGGCTCATCTAACCACTGCCTGAATGACTCAAGCCTCCTTAGTCCAGAGGAGAAGCTACCTGGGGTTGGGGGCGGGAGGGGAGACACCTGCTGGGGGCTTTCCTCGCCTAGGTAGTTCTGGGGTCTCAGGCCAACTACCACCTCACCCTGCCCCAAATGGAATGGGCCTGTCAACAACACAGCCCTTCTCAAATGAGAGAACACATATGATACAGCCCCACAGATGCCCAGCCGGCTCAGTCGGTGGGGCATGCGACTCGTGATCTCAGGATTGTGAGTCTGAGCCCCACGCTGGGTATAGAGATTACTTAAAAATAAAAGCTTTATTAAAAAAAAAAAACAACCCAAACAGCCCCATAAACTGTTTCAGAAAAAAACAAGGTATTCTATCATCTTACCTTACAAACAGAAGGGAACTGACACATTTTATCTAATAAATCCTAAAACTCCAGCAGTAACCAGCCAACCAAAGGGAAATGAGGTCATATTTAAAGGTAGTAAAAGGGACAAAGTCATAATATTCTATCCTAAAAGTTTGGTTTAGAAAAACAAAATTAACATCTGCTTTCAATTAAAGGTAAAAAACTAGAAAACAATCGTTTAAAAACCCCCTCCACCTTTTCTAAAGCCTGGCAGTGGTAAGATCTGATCCAGCTGCAGTTTTGCAGCAGGATTCTTCCTGGCATTCAGACTTCCAGTCTCTGTCTGCAAAGCTGTTTTTTGAAAGGATCACAGGAACGGAAAGCAGAGCTGGAAGCAGCTCAACAGGGGAGAACCATTTTCTCGCCTGGCCTCCTTGAGACGGAGGCAGAGTGCTCAGCTCTCAGGGAAAGCCTGGGAATTCCCTACCCCACCAGACAGACCAAGTCATCTGTGCTTGCCCCCCTTTCTCCTGAGGGAAGGGACTCCAGACCACCCCCCCAGCTGCAGTCACCCTCCCGCCGCACAGCTGTGCGGCCACACCCCTTTCAGTCCAGAACAGGGGCTCGGGGGGGGCGGAAATAAGTCAGTTCTCTCTCACTTCACCTGTTCCTAAAACCTATTTGTATGCCAGCTCTTCGTAAAGCCCTTCATTTTTTGGCACACTAAACCATTCTTGGTCCGTCTAATCACGGGAATGGGCCCCTAGGATCAAATGAAATGTGCAATTCCAACTCCTTTTCTGGGCGTATTGCTGGAAGGAGGGCTACCCAAACCCAGGAATGGTTCCAAAGTACTCAGGGTCAAACAGAAACTCACGGGGTGGGTCCAGAGGGGAGAGGATCGCCCTGAGTCTGTCTCTCTGCTTCCTGCTGTCCTATTTCTCACCTCACTGAAGCAGGGCCACCAAAATTGGTGATCGGCTTGTTCCTAAACCTCAGGCCTAGAAGAAACCACACTGAATATTTGAACATCTACCTCCAAGGAGCCAGTGGAAAAACCCTAGGAGGAGAGAGCAGAACGCAAAACCAAAGGCAGTCATGCAGAGAGCCAGCCGCTGCGCGCACCTGCTCGGCGGCGCGCACCCGCTCGGCGGCGCGCACGGTGGACAGGCTGGCAGCAAAGCATAATAGAGCGGGGTCCGCATACTCTGCAGGATGCTCTCCACGCACCATCCACCCGGCCTCTTACCCAAGGCGTGTCCCCTCTCCTGCAGCCCCAGCGTCCCGGCAGCCCCCGTCAAAGCCTGGGAAGCTGGCAGCTCTCCGCTTCAGAGGCCATGGTGGGCTGACACTGCGACCGCACCGTCCCAGGCTCCCGGGTGCCCCCACTGCCCCAGGTGGACGGAGGGATGGAGCAAGCACAGCATGTGTGCCGGCAGAGCCAGGGCAGAGGAGGCAGCGAGGAAACAAAAGCCAAGTGGAAAGCGAGGGTGGAGAGGGCTCCGAGCCTGGCGGGGACAGAGATGGCCGCAGAGCTGCCGCCCGGCTGACACTTGGCTGTGCCGCTCAGCTCAGCTCCTCGCAGGCGTATTTCCATGAATGCAATCACAGCCGGCCCCTCCTACCACCCCCCACGCGGCCTCCCGGGGGAGGGGTGCACCGTCGCTTGCAGACTGCACTTGCTTTTTTCCCACCCCGGGAAGCAGACGGGGGATGGCGGCTGTACGGGGAGGGTGTTAACCCTTCCTTTAGGTGCCCTCTCAGTACTGAGTGGATAAGCCACGGGGCTGGCCCACGGGGGGAGGCTGTTCCATCACGCTCGGCGCCGGGCCACCCCCTCCTCTTGCTCTGCACCCCAGGAGCAGGCGGTGAGGCTGACCAGGCTGCCCCCGTGCTCTGGGGCCCCGCGTCTCCACCACAGGTGTTCCAGCCTTTCTAGCAGAGGGCTGGCCTCCCACTTGGTCACCAGAGGCGGCAACATCACATTCCAGCACGTTCTGGTTAGGAGGAGCTCAGCGGGCTGATCTTGGGACAATACCATAAGGTGGCCGGTGACAAGAAACCTCACTGCGGCCCCAGAGCAGCAACTCCCAGCTCAGAGGGCCCAGGGACAAGCCAAGGGTACCGTTAGACACACAGACTTGGCCCCCCAGACCCCAGGACGTGGGTTCCATGTTAGATCGGAACATGCGGCCGCCTTTGACGAGTAAGGGAGGAGACATAAGGTTCTAAAAGCAAGTGCTGAACAGGCACAGAGGAAAAAGAGAAGAGAGACCATGACACCAGATCAGGGCTCTCTGACCCCTGCACGGCTGACCTTCTGGTGGGTCACTCTCTGTCAGAGGGGCATCCTGGGCAAAGCAGGATGTTGAGCTGAGCGCCCCCACCACCTCACCTCCAGATGTGACAACCAAAAGTGTCTCCAGACACTGCCAGATGTGCCCTGGAAGGCAAAGCTGCCTTGCTTAAAAACCACTGCTCCAGATAAACAACAAAGGAGAAAACAAACATCCCCACACCCTCCCCTGACTTCCAGTCTTCAGTCCTGAGGAAGCTGCTGAGAGGCAGCACCCCTGCAAGGCCTGGCCCCAGCCCACCCCTCGCTATACTAACATGGGCTCCGTGCCCTGGGGATCCCTCGTCACAGGATGGGGTCACCAGACCTGACCCAAATATCCCAACCCTGTGGCCCCAGCCTACGTCTTTGAAGAAGCAGCCCTAATGTGAACAATTTTATTTTTGTGTCAAAGTGGCAGTTCTCACCTATAAGAATCATACCACGTCTATGAGAAAGAAACCTTAAAATTATTTATGAACTCTTTGTTTTACGCTGCAAAAGGAAACCAGCTTTCAACAGAGGTGTAGACTGCAAGTCCCCACCTAACCCGCTCCCGCCATCTGGTAAGCCACCCTGTTCCCACCCGCCCGCCGGGGGAGGGTCCCCCTGGCGCCACAAGAATTCTCACTCCCAGCCTCTCTTCACTTCCTCCTTGTGTTTAGGGGCTCATCCTCACCATCCCTCAAGAGCCACCACTCACAGGAAGACTCCGGGGCCACGGTGGCCAGACTCCCCTCCCAGCTTACACGAGCTGGCCATCACCTAAACATCTCAATCCGCGCTGCCTCTCTCTGTCTGCTCGTGCGGTTTACCATCTGGCGATGCACTGTCCCACCAGCGGTCTCATCTGTCCAGCAATATCTCCTACTCTAAGTGTAAAACCAGGGCTGTGTCCCCTGTTCTGAGCAACATTACTGGGTTTTACACAAATACACAGCAGGGATTTACAGACCGCAGCAGGTGACTGCTGACCTCTCACCTCCTGTGCAACACTCGGCCAGAATGCACCAGGCTCACTGCGCCTCACCTTACCACACCCTTTACCAGCTACTGAGCAATCAGAAGGTCTACAGCTGGGCTTCACCTGCACTGTGGGAACCTGGGCAAAGGTTCAGCTTGAATCCGGGCCGCAGGCGGCTGGGAGCAAAGCCCACAATAGTCAATTCTCAGCACAGACAATACGACCCAAGACGTGAGCAGACAAGAAGTGAGAGGAAAAAGCTACCAGCAGAAAGTCTGCACTGTGGCCCTCCTCATGCATAAAGAAGACAGATGCTCAAATAAATAGCCCCATAATCAAGCTCATGAAATCACAGTGATCAAACACAAAGACCATTTGCAGGCTAGCTAGTCATCTCAGGAAATCCACCAAGAGGGAGAATAAAAGTTTTTAAAAATGGTTTTCTCAGACTGTTGTAAATTCAACAATCTTAAAAAAAAGTGTACCACCCAGAAACGAGGCACCCTATTAGTTACTGTAGAAGATACAGAGATGGTTAAGACACAGTTTCAGCCCCCAAAGAGCTTACATGTTACTATTCCCTTCGAAGGAAAAAGCATCAGGCAGGTCCATGCGAGGACACTGGCATCAGGTGCTGGCCACGTACCAGAGGGCTCCACACAGGAGCTGAGGCTGGAGCCTGCTCTGAAGGTTGGAGCCAGCAAGGAGAGGGCACTCCAGGCTGGGGAGAGTGACAGTCGCACAGGGGAAGGGGGAGAACACTCTGGAGAGGTGGGGAGAAGCTGGAGCCACACTGTGTCCTCTGACTCTGACACGAAGACCTCTGGATTCTGCCCCTCCCACTGGCTCCCAGCGGCTCCCAGCGGCTCCCAGCGCCAACCAGCGTGCTGGTGTGACAGCGCTCCTGCACAGAGCTCACATCCTGCCCTGCTCCCTCCCTTGAGGCCTCAGGCACACAGAGCCAGCCCCACGGACCCTCCACCAAGCGTGCAGGGGGAGTCTGCAGCACTTCCTCTATTTGATCCATAACTTCTGAGGTGGAGATAAACTCAGATCTTTGAATTCATCAAGGGCGCAAGCGTGCTAATCCTCGGCATGAGGCACTGCCAGCCCCAGCGGACCTGGGCAAAGGCCCCACGCACCAGCACCCATAATGGGCAGAGGGCCTGGTTCTCAATCTCCCCTTCTTGTCACACAGCAACTGAGGCACAGACCTCTAACAGTTGTACTCCATTCCTGACACTTAAACGTGCTTAATTTTTCTTTAGTAAAAGCTAGAAGCATAAATACTTCTTGCAAGAGGCAAAGACTGACAGCTGTTCCCATGGAGGAGGGCCTGAAGATCTCTTGAGAGAGCAGTTTCTCCTCTAACCGCAAAGTAGAAAAACCTGGCTCCCAGAACCAGACACTGACCCTTATCGGAGCTGCCCAGGGTCCAGAGAAGGTCTTCTGCAGTCTGAGAGAAGCTGAGGAGGGCCTGGAGGCACCGGCCTGGGCACCCACCTTCTGCATCCCAGCCGGTCGTGGCGGCCACTCACGGGCAGGGCGAAGCTGGGGCAGGCACAGAGGGCCCAGCCGCGGGAACGGGGGCACCCTCCCAGCGCCAGCGCAGGCCCAGGGCTGTATGCGTTCTGAGAGGCTGCTCTCGGGGTCCTCCACCTCCTGCCCTTGCAGAGGGCATGGCCGAGTGGGGAGCGGGGCTGCAGGGAGGACAGCAATGAGGCGGCAGCAGGGGGTGGACAAAGCTCAGTGCCACGGTCTCTGCCCTTCAAGACCCCGGGGGGCACTTCTCCCTCTCCAAAATGAGCTTGGGAGGCGATGTGATCCATAAGGGAGTGGTGGGTTTGGCTGTGAATTCCTGACACCAGGAAGGTCTCTGGTGGCCTTCCTCCAATACAAACAGACCCTCACCTCTTGGCTGGTATCCTGGAGGGGATGTTGTGATTGGTTTCTCTGGACAAATTCCCTTCTACCCCCAAACCCTCAGAGCCAGCACGTGCCCTGCCAGCCTCTCACACGGGCAGGACAGAGTCACCAGGAAAACAAAGGGAGACCTGAGCAGAGGTGGGAAGACCCCAGCAGGAGAGGTCTCTCAGTGTATACGTCACAGGTCCTAAAAATAATACATCACCAACAAGATTTTTACAGAAATGATACAAATGAAGTAATAATAAAGTTCTTAGGAAAAAGTTTATATATGGATAGTCCGGAAAAGTATGAAGGAGAAAAAAGGTGACGTGAGGGAGTCACTCCTGGAGACTGATGCGCGAGGCTCGGTGATGGGAGACAGCACAAGGGATGCTCGAGAGATGCTGACCCACCTGGTGGCGCTTCAGGTCACATGGTCTCAGGAAGTACAGACGGTCTCAGGAAGTACAGACACACAAATATAAAGAAAGGTGGGATTTTCAGCCCATGGTGGTGGGGCAATAAGCCAGCAAGCCACTTGGGGGAAGACTAAGCTGAATGTCTACCTTATTTATATCAACATAAATTCTAGGTGAATCACAGATTTTAATGTAGAGAAAGAAACCATCAAAATTCTAGGGGCGCCTGGGTGGCTCAGTCAGTTAAGCGTCTTGCCTTCAGCTCAGGTCATGATCTCAGGGTCCTGGGATCAAGCCCCGCGTCGGGCTCCCTGCTCAGCGGGGAGTGTGCTTCTCCCCGTTTATGTTCTCTGTTGTTATCTCTCTCTGTCCCTGTCTCTTTAATAAATAAATAAAATCTTAAAAAAAAAAAGAAACCATCAAAATTCTAGAATAAAGCACGATGACTATGGTCATGGTCTTGGAGAGTGTGTTTCCTGCGTTAAAATGAAAAGCTTCTGAGTAGAAAATGAAGCCCGGCCAGCTAAAGGTAAACAGCCAGGACAGCAAATATGCAAAGCATGTGCCAAGGGTTAGCTTCTTCAATTCACAGGGAGAGCAGCATGAAGCCCAGTAAGACAAAGACCAACACCACTGGCAAAGGACACAAAAGCAGATACGAGAGAAAAACACACATGGCCAAACACGGAGAGATGCCTGAACTCTCTAAAAACAAAAAATTTAAAATGTGCCAATTAGAACATGAAGACCATACTGCTCTCCATCAGTTGGGCAGAAATTAAATGTCTGATGACACGGCGGACCCTGACGAGGGCGTGGGGCCACATGGGCGGCCAGGGGCGTGTAACCTGGCACCACCTTTCTGCCCTACCAAAGCTCAAAAGCCACGTACCTTTCCATTCAGCACTTCCATTTAAGAACTGACCCAACCAACATCCTCTGGAAACTGCAAAAGTTAAAAACTACTTAAACACTATGTGGTTACGAGAAAGAGGGAGCTGATCTGTGAGTGACTGTCTAGAAAATTCTCTAAGACATACTCAGTGTGACAGGCAACCACAGAACAGCAGGTGCACACACACACACACACACACAGACTCTGGGAGGGACGTACCTGAGGCTGGGCGCAGACCCTCCTCAGAGACGAGGGATGCGGACGCCTCACGGTCTACCTCTCTGAATATCAGGATCCGCAACTAAGGCAACGCTTTTTTGTTTGTTTGTTTTTAAGGTTTTATTTATTTATTTGTCAGAATGAGAAAGAGAGAGAGCATGAGCAGGAGGAGGAGTGGCAGGGAGAGGGAAAAGCAGGCTCCCCACTGAGCAAACAGCCTGATACGGGGCTCGATCCCAGGACCCCAAGTTCATGACCTGAGCCCAAGGCAGACACTTAATGACTGAGCCACCCAGGCGCCCCTCAGGCACCGTTTTACATTGACGTTTCTATTCATAGAAAATACGGACATGCCACCAGTCATTTACCCCCAAATATTTGCTAAGATTGATGCCTAAATGTTTCTTTTGTGGAAAAAGCACACTTGGCTTCTGCTCGAATGTCTTCTTCGTGCCCGCTGTAACTACACCGTTCTGAAGCAGTTTCATATGTGGGACTCCATCTGAAGTCTATGCATCGGTGTCCTGAACTCTTTTTTTTTTAAAAGATTTTATTTATTTATTCATGAGAGACAGAGAGAGAGAGAGAGGCAGAGGCAGAGGGAGAAGGAGACTCCCCGCTGAGCAGGGAGCCCGATGCGGGACTTGATCCCAGGACCCTGGGATCCTGACCTGAGCCGAAGGCAGACGCTCAACCGACTGAGCCACCCAGGTGTCCCGGTGTCCTGAACTCTTAACAGAAAATACAAAAAGAAAAGAGACTTTAGACATCAGAAAGAAAACAGATGCAGAAAAGCCACTGACCAGGAAAAGAAATTTACCGGCTCTTTCTCAAGTCAGAAGCTGAGCTTTCGTGACTGCGCTGTGTGGGGGGGAGGGGTGTACTGGGGTGAGTGCTGACCCCCAGCAGAGCTGACCCGCCTGTCTCCGCTTCCCCCAGTGTGTCACCTGCACCTACGGAGCCAGGCACAGCACATCCTCGAGAGACGCACGCAGGAGGTCACGAGACCGCCATGCCCTAGCAGTGCTCTTGAACGTGAGCTCCTGGCTGGGTCTGACATCCCTCCGGGAGCCATGTTGACACCGCACAGTGGCAGAGCTGACTGGGCTAGACCCGGTCACTGCTGAGGCTGTCCGAGTCCGAGACCACACTGCGTTTAGGGACCGTCCCAGCTGCAGCTCCTCAGAGGGCAACCAGGAGCGCCAGCGCAGCCGCAAGAGTCTGTTTCTGACAAGGAAATCTCAGCCAAGTGGACAACAAACAGTAGAGGAGCAGAGGGGAGAATGATGAGAATCTTGTCACACTGCCTTTGGAGCGTTGTCCAGATGCAAGGGAAAAGTGAGAACCTGAAGGTCTAGCCCTCCATTCTTCAACCAGAAGCAAACTGCATGCAGGTTCCACAGGCCCCACCACATACTTCAGTGAACCTTCCAGAACCACAGAGAAGGTTGTTGACAACACCTGGAATGTCCTCGCCTCCACTGACCACTCTGTACACTGATGAGGGCCCTTAAGGCCCAGTGCTGGGCCTGCCAAGACCTCCAATACCTGCCTTTTCTTTCGACCAGTGCTGGCTCCTGAGATTACCCTGTCTGCTGCCTCTGTCGTACCTGCACCCGTCTGCGGGACTCGGGGCCCTGTGCTTCCGTTAAGAGGGGACTCGGAGGCTGCGGAAAGGCTCAGGCGACAGTACAAGTCCGCTTTCTCAGAGGAGTAGAACCCAAGCCTCGTTTCTGCTCACCTTCGTAAAAAAGGAAAGGGCAGTTCTGATCCCCTCACGACGACACTATGAGCATTCATGTCTGGTGTGCTCACAGGGGGGCCGATGAAATTCGGACCAGGGCGAGTCCCCTTCAACACCTGTCACAGCAGATGGTGAGGCAGGTCTGCAGGGAAGCGCTCCTGCTTCAAGATAAAGATGCAACCGTTTTGACTCTGCAAAATACAAACTCAACCCCCAGGGAAGGGAGCGAGAACTATCTGTGGGAGTATTCATTTCTAGTTACGGCACTTTAGCTTTCCCCTTCCTGCGTGCCTCACACTAAGCAGTTTGCCCACCACAAGGCTGGCACAATCACGGGAATGCACTACAGGGACGAGGCCAGGTGGTGAGTCAACGGCAGGGGTAGTATTTTAGTGGTCACCTGGGAATCCAGTATCCTGGTGGGGAGGCACTCTACTTAATTCTATCCCACACATCTTCCTATAAATAATAGGATTTTGGGGCACCTGGGTGACTCAGTCGTTAAGCATCTGCCTTCGGCTCAGGTCATGACCCCAGGATCCTGGGATCGAGCCCCACATCGGGCTCCCTGCTCAGCGGGAAGCCTGCTTCTCCCTCTCCCACTCCCTCTGCTTGTGTTCCCTCTCTCGCTGTGTCTCTCTCTGTCAAATAAATAAAATCTTTAAAAAAAAAAAAACTTTAAAAAGTTTGGTATTTCTATTCGCCAGCATCAGTCAGAAAATATTTTATAAAAACATACCACTGATAATGTCTAACCCCCCAAAAAAGACACATGCAAAAAAATAAAATATTTGCATGACCTTTATGGAGAAAATTGTAAAGCTCTGTGGAAAGACATCAAAGAAGACCTATTTAACTGGAGAGATAAAACTAACGGACAGGGGCGCCTGGGTGGCTCAGTCGTTAAGCATCTGCCTTTGGCTCAGGTCATGATCCCAGGGTCCTGGGATCGAGCCCCGCATCGGACTCCCTGCTTGCAGGAAGCCTGCTTCTCCCTCTCCCACTCCCCCTGCTTGTGTTCCCTCTCTCACTGTCTCTCTCTCTCAAATAAATAAATAAAATCTTTAAAAATAATAATAATAATAAATAAATAATAGGATTTTACACTCACATAGAATCTCACAGCTTAAAATGTTTCTTTTTTGTTTCCGTTTTAATTTGGACTCAACAACAAAGTCCAGCTATAAACTTTGCATATTTCCTGACAATGAACGAGGCACTGTTACCTCCAGTTTTACAGACGAGGTAGGACTGAGTAGACACACTCTACTAACAGACAGAGCCCAATTCAAACTCACTGGCTGAGTCCTCAGCTCTTTATTTTCTCTTACTGGAAAAATCAAATTCACTTCAGCTCAACATTTATTGAGTATCTGCCCAGGCCCATCCTGTGCTCGGAGCTCAGATTTAAATAGCTCCAGCCCCTGTCCTGAGCAGAACACCAAGGCCAGAGGGGGAGGCGCACGGGCCTGGAGCTACAGCACCTGCGGCCACTGGGGCCATGCACACGCGGGA